AGACCACTGGATTTTGCCCCGGGTTACAAATTTCTTGCCACCGAAGTTAAGCGAATCACTGCAGTGGCAGAGTTAGTAAGACAGTCATTAAGTGAATCCAGCTTCCCCCAATGGATTCTGCTAGTCAGAAGGATTCAAAAGAGGATCGCGCGAATCCCGGGGACGTGGCAACTTGTTGTAAAGATGAGTCAGTTGCCAAGGGTCTGAATTTGGATCAACCACGGGGATGCTGCAGTGGTTGTAAGTGTTGAAAATAGTTGTGTCGCTTTTTTTTAGTGCCTTTGTAACTTCAAATGGTCACTAAATGAATTGTTGTAAACCGAGGACTATCTGTATTTTGTTCTTCTCAACCAACAGTCGGCACCTGCTAGGAGTCAGTTAAGGCTCCACGGAATTCAAGGGAAGTGGGACTTAGTTCGCTTGTGACTACGTAGGGATGTTAGGCAGATTCCTCTTTTCACTCCCACCCCAAATTCTGCCACAGCTGATATTCAAAGTTTGCCAGGAGAATAAACCGATTTATTGGTTCCAGGCTACGGGGGTCTCGGCCTCTCCATCGAAGGTCCCAGCAAAGTGGACATCAATTGTGAAGACATGGAAGATGGCACCTGCAAAGTCACCTACTCGCCGACCGAGCCCGGAAATTACATAATCAACATTAAATTTGCCGATAAACACGTGCCAGGTATATCTCTTTGTCTGTCCCTGACTTCCTGAGACCATAATTAAGCACACGCTTAGTTCAAACAACTCTTGTTTTAGTTCAACACTGGGAATTAGGTTCATTCCCAGCCCATAATGAGTCCCAAACAATCCCCCGAGATAAGCACCCACCTTTCTCTCCTTTGAATTGCTGCCAACAACTGAAGTGTTAAATTAACTGAAAAAAAACCAACTGAAGTACAAATTCCACACAGAGCTTCAAGGTTTAATTTGAACAGAGTGAACGACTTTGCTTCCTGCAAAGGTTTCTTCACCTTTGCCTGTTCTTCATACCTTATGGGAGGGGGCAATCACCTCCAAGCCTTATTACCGAGTTGCCCTTTTTGTCTTAGCTGCTCTTTCATTCTGGCAGCTCTGTGCACACGCACACTGGGAATAGGCTCCCTTTATTCCTCTGCCACACTGCTGTCAGATTCTGGAGGCTCCAGAGTCAGCACCCAACTCCCAGATGGTCCCGGCCCCATCTGTATATTGGACACCCGACCCTCGTCCGAGTCCTCCCCAGACTCCCGGACTGGTCCTCGTTCTTCCCCACTGTCCGATTCCGCTGCCATCTGCACAGGCTGCCGGCGAACCACAACAGGGTTCCTGATCCAACCTGTGGCCGAATTTCAAGTTTCTAGCTCTCAAGTTGAGTGCTGGGTGAGAATTAGGCTGGTGTTTTCTCCCACCTGGGGAAGAGGTGTGGACTTCCAGAATCCCCCAGGCTGCAGGTGTCCTGCAGGGGCCAGCTGGGATGGATGTTCCAGGCTGTTGAGATAACCACTAGCCTTGCTGACCCTTTCAGGAAGCCCCTTCACTGTGAAGGTGACTGGAGAGGGACGGATGAAAGAGAGCATCACACGCCGGCGCCAGGCGCCTTCTATCGCCACTGTGGGCAGCACCTGCGACCTGAACCTCAAGATCCCAGGTAAGGGGACTACTGGAAACGGAGGGGGCTCCAGAGGTTGCCATTAAGTCAAGAGAGGCTGGCTGGATATTGGGGTTCTCCAGCCTGGAGGAAATCCTTTACAGGCCGGGCGGTCCAAGGTGGCCCACTCAAAAATTATGTGCAGCCCCCATCTCTATGTCCCATTTTCTAACTGGCTTCATCCTCCTTCCTCTTCCTCTTCCACTTCCTCCACTTCTTCTTCCCTTTTTCCTTCTTCCACCTCTTCCTCTTCCTCCTCCTTTTTCCTCCTCTTCCTTTTCTCCTTCCTCCTCCACTTCCTCCTTCCTCTTCCTCCTCATTGCTTCTGCCTCCTCTTCCTTTCTCCATTCTCCTCCACCTCCTTCCTCTTCCTCCTCTTTCCTTCCTCCTCCTCCTCCCCCTTCCTCCTTCCTCCTCTTTTCCTTGCTCTTTTTTCTACCTCCTCCTTTCCCTCTCTCTCCTCCTCTCTTATCCTCCGCTCCTCCTTCTTCCTCCTTCTCCTCCTTCCTCCCCTCCCCTCCTTCCTTCCTCCTCTTTCTTCTTCCTCTTCCTTCTCCTTCCTCTTCCTCTCCTTCCTCCTCCTTCCCTTTCCTCCATCCTCTTCCTCCTTTCTTCTTCCTTCTCCTCTTCCTCTTCCTTCTTCTTTCCCCCCCCTCCTGCCTCCTCCTTTCCCCTCATGGCTGCTGGCGCAGGGAATTGGTTCCAGATGGTCTCAGCTCAGGAGCGCCTGACCCGCACTTTCACGCGCAGCAGCCACACCTACACACGCACCGAGCGGACGGAGATCAGCAAGACACGCGGCGGGGAGACCAAGCGCGAGGTGCGGGTGGAAGAGTCCACGCAAGTGGGCGGGGATCCCTTCCACAACGTCTTCGGCGAGTTCCTCGGCCGCGAGAGCCTTGGCTCCTTTGGCAGCATCGCCCGGACCCAGGAGGGTGCGTGGGCCTTGCCAGTGTGCCGTGCACTCGCTTGCTTGTGCCCGTGGGCCTCGCACCCAACGGGGAGCACGGCGGTGTGTGAACTGCATGCCAGCCTCACTTGGGCGGGAAGAGAAGCTGAATGGGCATGGGAGCTTTCCCACTGGGGGGCTATTTGAGGGGTGGGTGGGTCACAGCCACATGTGTCTTCTAGGTAGAGTTTTATCTGTCCATTCTGAGCAATGTTAGCTTGGCAAATTTAAGCGGGGGAGGGGGACTTCAACTCCCAGAAATCCTCACTTCAATTCCCAGAATTCTAGACTTCAATTCCCAGAATTCTAGACTTCAATTCCCAGAATTCCCAACTTCAACTCCCAGAATTCTAGACTTCAACTCCCAGAATTCCTCACTTCAACTCCCAGAATTCCTCACTTCAATTCCCAGAATTCTAGATTTCAACTCCCAGAATTCCAGACTTCAGTCACCAGAATTCTAGACTTCAATTCCCAGAATTCCAACTTCAATCCCCAGAATTCTACACTTCAAATCCCAGAATTCCCAACTTCAATTGCCAGAACCTGTCCAT